ATGTGCATGGCACCACCATTCTCCTCGCGTGCGCTGTACGTTGTCTACACTCTGCCGTCCCTTTAACACCGGCTTTCGTACACCAACGCCATACACTGCAACGCAATACACTGCTGTATTCTTACAAACTTTTTCCCACCCTCCCTCTGTGTGGATGACCCATCTTTATCAGGTCGCGAAGACCTTGAGGATCGGTACGGACAAGGTCCTGGCGGTTCGCACACTCTGGTATGACAAGCAGGAGTTGTACGAGACCAACGGGAAGGGGCGAGGCAAGGCCACCAGCGTCGACGACGGGCGACGTGTCATCATCAAGGAGCAAGAGGATGGACTGCGCGACTTCATCAAGGGCGAGCACGAGGCGGGACGTCAGGTCTTCCGCCGTACCGTCAAGGATTACTTGGAGTGTTCGTGCGGAATAGAGATGTGTTCGTGCGGAATAGAGATGTCGAATCGTGCCGTGCGAGGGTTGCTGCAGCGCCTTGGCTTCAAGCGCCGTAGGGGGGTGTCCTCATAGTCGTGCATGCCGCAGTCGTTAGACCATTCATTGACTTCGCATCCCTACAAAGCCGGGACGGAGCACGCCGGGTTCTCACCGGACCAGACTCTCCATCACCAAGCGCGAAGCGCCGTGAGATATTCGGCGAGTCGCATGAAGGGTGCGCTGCATCCTGCTAAGGGTGTTGGACATCTTGTGCTTACTTCCTTGCATACGGATGACAGCTGCGTATGACTTAATTAATTACTTTCTGGTGCTTTCACTTCCAGAGACAGTTGTAAGCACGGTGTAACTGCCTCGAGGGTGCTTGACCATTTTAACACAACGTGGTGCGATCATCCCCCTTGCGCGGAGTGAGGGTTCTCCACCCCGCACAACATGATCTACTCGACCACCATTATGGTGACCGCCAAAAAAAAAAAAACGAAGGTAAAAAACAAACGGTAACCTGGCAAACACCGGGGGGGGAGCATAGTAGGGGTAGGATCAAAATAGCTCCGTTGAACGAGGAGAGGAAAAACCGCATCCGCCTCTTTCTTGTTAAGATGGACCTCGCGACGAGGGCCGAGGACGCTGGCGTCGCAGTCATTGTGTACATGGATGAGAGCTTTGTTCACCAGGCGCATGGTTCCGCGTACTCGTACTTTTCTTCTGACGACAAGGGGGTTGTGCAGGATGGGATAGGCCGTACAACGGGGAATGGTTTGCGTATGATCATGGTGCATGCGATCACGAAGCACGGGCCCTTGGCCGAGCTACAGGAGGGATTTCCTATCCGTGAGAGTTGGATCAAGGATAAGGAAAATGGTGCGAAGATTAAGCCTGGGGTGGCGGATTTCGAAGTGTCAGATGAGCAGACAGCAGAATTTCTGTGGCAGGTCAAGTTGGCAACTGGAGGTTATCATAACGCCATCACGGATGGGATGTTGATGCAATGGTTACCGTTATAACTCACCTACCAAAGTATGTAGGAACCAATATTATTAGACCACGACCCTTCCGCCCACGATCTGTAAGAAATATTGGTAAAAGTAGCGCAATGAATTACATACGCACACGCAAACAATTAATTATTTTTTGATAATGCGAATTAGAAAGGAAAACAAACATGCCGTGCGTGCGTGCCTGCTTGAAGTATAACAGTCTGTCCGGTCATAAAGCTTTGATTTGGAAAAGTCGTAAAAAATCTCGCCCAAACTTTGGATTCTCGTGATGGCGGGTTTGAGCCTCGGCACCACCACCATCTTTTTTTCCCCAACCAACAAAAAATATTTTTCATCCTTTTTTTCACTTGGTCTCCTGGTCCAAAGTGGCACCGTAATCTTACATCAGTCAATTTTCGTCGGTTGAAGAAGGTTAAAAGTTGTTGATACGACCAAGAGAGGTCGGAAAACAAAGTCAGAGGGCTGACAGACATACAAAAAAATCACAACCAGAAATTCGAATTTCTCGCCGCGCATGAGCATTTCGAAAAAATAGGCCGACTTTAATTTTCCTTACCGAAGAATCTCGCCAGGTCTGCGGGGGGGCTGATAACGACCCATCCCCGCTTTTCAGCGTTGTAAGTTACGTTCATCATTAACATGCAGGCTGTATGTAGGAGTATTGCCTTAGTTTTTGCGGGCTGAAACCGATTCCACACGCGTAATAAGTAGAAACCGGAACTAAATTTCCGTTTGCCCAAGTCGGAACTTTATGACCGGACAGACTGGTAATGTATTTGGCAACTCACCCTCGGCACTAAACAAATGGGCCCGTCATATCATTTTTTCACTTAAACATTCACTCAAAAATTGAAGCAGAAATTTCTCTCGGGCGCTAAGTGAGCTCCATTTCGGATCTCTCGGCCGCTTCCAGAGCCGCATTTCCATCTCTTAGGGATCTTTCGGGCGCTTCTTAGTTATTCCGCTCCATCTCTACCTACGTATGTACAGCAGTATGTTGGGCATAATTTTTCCTTCTCGCTCTGAGTCTGCCTCGGTGGCGTCTGGCTCGGTCGCTCGCGGTTGGTTCCGGTCGCCACTTTCCTCTGCTCCCCATCCACGACGCATCGCAATCTGTGCAGTGTTCCCCTCCCTCTCTCTCTGCTCTCAAACACCACCAGTTTGTCTCTCGGTGCTCCCATGTCGGGATATCGGTACGTTGCACTGCTTCTTCTGCTGTACTCCTCCCCGGCCTGCCCCCCCCGTCCCTGGGGTAGGCCGAGGTTCCGCAAGTGGATCTAGACCTCGAAAGACCACCCAGCAACGACGGCGATACGGTCCCTAGCACTGTTTAGAGGGGGATCCTGAGTTTGGCGGTTGGGAGTTACTGCTGTCGTGAGATCGGGGTAGCTCCTTAGCCGCCAGCTTTGGTAGCTGCAAAATGAGATTGGATCCTGACGTCCGGGCTTGTACACCGGGGCTATGCAGCAGCAGAGAGCACGGTGAGGGTGGTGGAGTGGCCGCACGCCGTGGGGGTATGCCCCAGAGAGAGGAAAGGAGAGAGTCCAGAGATGGAGGGCCACACCGCTCCGGGACAAGAAGGCAACTCTATGGGAAACAAGGCAAGAACCGGGGTAACTTTCACGTTAGCCCGAGTGTTCGCAAGAAAATAGTACAAAAAACAAAAAAAGAAAGGAAGATGGAGGACAAGGAAGGGTCGGGCGGCGCGTAGGCTAGCTAAGAGAGCAGCGCGCGCCGCGCGAAAGAGACAGCAGGGTCAACTTCTTAGGGTAGCAACCTGGAATGTGCGGACTTTGGCTGTAAACGGGGCCAATGGATACGGGCGAGTCTACAGCGTTCTTCACGAGGCAGCGAGACAAGACGTATCGGCGGTAGGAATGCAGGAGACACGGAGGGCAGGTCGAACGGAATTTGCAGCAGCGGGTTTCCGGGTGTTCTGCTGTGGCACGGAGACTGGTGGAGTCCATGGTGAGGGGATAGCCGTCAAAGAGTCATTGTGCAAGACATCCACGTTCACTACGGAGTTTATCGACGAACGCCTTATGGCCATGAGGTTTCTGTTGGCAGGCCACCGTGGAGCGGTCAACTTCGTAGCCGCGTGTGCTCCAACCGAACCTTCAACCGCCGACAGCAAGCGCATGTTCTGGGGAGAACTTGACAGTCTCGTGCGGAGGATCCCTTCCAAAGAATGTGTGTATGTCCTATTGGACGCCAACGCGCGGACGGGAGATAGGTTGGACGGAGGGGACGGAAGTGTAATAGGAATGTACGGGCGTGATGAGCTCAACGACAATGCCATGCTACTGTTGAACTTCGCAACGGAAAACAGGCTAGTTCTCACGAACACGTTCTTTGAGACACGCTAGGGCGGAATATGGCACACATACAACGGTGTGTCGGGAAACGATTGCAAGCGCCTTGACTACATCCTGACAAGGCAGGCACATCACGGCCTGTCTCTTATACACATCTAGATGTGTATAAGAGAC